ATCATGCGAAAAGTGCTCAGAATGGTGAAAAACTGCATTATTTTAAAAGAATTTTTGGCCAAGGGGCAAACCGATGAGAAAAATGCAAGTTGACGACCTGACATTTAAAACTGTTCTCCATATTTTTTTTATTAGAAACATAATGAACCATTTAATTGAATAAATGTTTATTCCTAATCCATACGTACAGTATAGTTATTGTTCGAATGATTGTCAATCTTTGGTTTGCGTAATTGGATTCACTTTGTTAAAAGACTAGCACTCTTATCACAATTATTTCTATGGTTTGATTTACCGGATGGTGTATTTAAGACTAAGGTTAAGGCAAAATAGTCAGAAAAATATATTTCACTTAGTTTTGTTATCATTTTATAATGAGATCTATTTCACTCATTCGGGGATCTAATAGTAATTGAAGTTTTGGCGCGAAATTTGCCCTGCTTTGACGTCATTGATTTTCATCGACCAATCAGCGCAGCGGTCAAATGAGTACACTTTGGACTTTGGGGAAAAGTGAATACATTATGTCATACAAATCAAACATGGAGGAAGTCCTGCATTTCATTGACATGTGTTTAAGAAAAGAAATATATGACATCGCAACCATTCCAACACAATATCTTTGTAGATTAATGTGACTGTATAAATGTAACTGTATAAATGTAGTTTGTATAATTGTAGTCTGGCCATGCCCTGATAACACAGTGGCCGTGCCTTAATAAATTCTTAATTCTAATTCTAAATTCTATAAAGCGCATGGGCGAAGTTATTTTATAAATACAATCAGGTAATGATTATGTCTTGAGCATGCATGAAGTCTTATGAACACATATGATGAAGACACGTAGCAAGCATTACTAGCTCTCGAAACGAAATTCCAAAATTAAGATCATTTTGCTATGATTGCTAAGCATGTACATGGCCGTCACATGGGGGGAGGGGTTGGGGGTCGATGGGTGGGACCCCCCTCTGACACCCACCAAAAAATATTTTGGGAAATTTTTTTCCATTGACTCATACACTTTGAAAGTGCCCAGAAAGCATCTTAAAATTGCCAAATTTTCTAGGGGGAGTGGGCCACCCCTCACACCCCCACAGAACAATTGAAAGTTCTGAATTTATTTTATGTATTGTATTGCCCAGACATCATCAAATAGCTCCTTGATTAGTCAATGTTTCTGGGGGACTAACACTTGCTCCCCCTCTGGCATCCTCACCCACCTCCCCCTCGGGCACCCCCCCCCCCCTTGGACACCCCACCCCAAAAAATAGAAAAAATGATTTAATCTTTTTTATTGACTCATACACTTTAAAAGTGCCCAGAAAGCACCAAATAGCATCTTAAAATTGTATAAAATTTTCTTAGGAAGTAGGCCACCCCTCACATCCCCCACAAAACAATTGACAAAAATTCTGAACTTATTTCATGTATCGTCTCAGACACATTGTAGGTGCCCAAACTTCATCAAATATATCACATATGGTCAATGTTTCTAGGGATCTGGACAGATATGGGGGACAAACACTTGCTCCCCCTCTGAAATCCCAACCCTACCTCCCCTTTTGGCACCCCCCCCTTTGACACCCCCAAAATTAACAAAAAAAGTGATTGTTGTTCATTTTTTTATTGACTCATACACTTTAAATGTGCCCAGAAAGCACCAAATATCATCTTAAAATTGTAAGATTTTCTAGGAGAGTTGGTCACCCATCACAGCCCCCACAAAACAATTGAAAAAAAAAATGAATTTCATGTATTATCTCAGAGTCACTTTTAAAGTGCCCAGACATCATCAAATAGCACCTTGAAATGGTCAATGTTTCTGTTTCCCCACCCCACCTCGACCTTTTATCCTCTTTGACACCCCCCAGAAAATTGAAACACATTTTATTGACTCATACACTTTGAAAGTGCCCAGAAAGCACAAAATAGCATCTCAAAAGTGTAACATTTTCTAGGGGGAGGGGGGGGGGGCACTCCTCACACCCCCACAAAACAATTGGAAATGTTTGGATGTTGCATTTGTTAATTTCAAACACTTTAAAAGTACCCAGAAATCACCAAGTGACATAATGAAATCATAAACAATTCTGACACCACATTCCAAAAACTAAAGCATTTATTTACTCAAACACATTAAAAATGCTCAGAATTAACCAGACAGCATCTGGAATTAGTAAAATCTTCCTGTGCTGCCCACTCGCTCCTCTTAGAAGAAAATGATTAAAAAATCAGAATATCTTTAAATTGATTCTATTGCCTTCTAGCACACCCTCCCTATTCCAATGTTTCTCCAAATTGCCCATACAATATTTAGTCTAACAAGGCACAGACATGAACAATATCGTACCTAAAACACAGCAGTGTGACAGTGAAGAATTTAGGACGGAAAATCCAAAATGGCCACCTTAAAATTTACCCAGAATGCCCAAAAACTAATCAGTTCTTAACTTTGACACGTAGAAACATCCCTGAAAATTTCAGATGAATCCATCAAATGGTTTGGCTGGAAACCTGTAGACAAGTCTTGAAAGTGAAGATTTTAGGACGGAAAATCCAAAATGACCACCTTAAAATTTACCCAGAATGCCCAAAAACTAATCAGTTCTTAAATTTGATATGTAGAAACATTCCTGAAAATTTCAGATGAATCCGTCAAATGGTTTGGCTGGAAACCTGTAGACAAGTCTTGAAAGTGAAGATTTTAGGACGGAAAATCCAAAATGGCCACCTTAAAATTTACCCAGAATGCCCAAAAACTAATCAGTTCTTAACTTTGATATGTAGAAACATTCCTGAAAATTTCAGATGAATATGTCAAATGGTTTGGCTGGAAACCTGTAGACAAGCTGAAAAGTGAGACGCCGCCCGCCCGCCCGTCAAGCTGACGACAATATCGTACCTTTTTTAGGTACGATAAAAACAATATGAAAACAATAAAATACTACAAAAAAGGCTGAGTGGCCTTAATATAGAGAGAAACTGACCCCCCCTGACTTGCCCGATTTGATTTACGCGAAAAAAATGACAATTTTATTTTCTCTATTAAAAACCGCATGAAGTGTCTTACGGGCCTGATGTATGCGTGAATGTCAAGCTGCTTTTGGTGGATTAGGTACAAGTTTTAGACACTTCATTCATTTATCTTGACATTGAGGTGCACAGCCGCACTTTTGAGCATGGTAATACAAGTTTTTATATCCTTAGCTGCAGATGGGCTTTCAAAAATCTGTTATCTAATTCACTCGATAATCGAATGGATGCGCTTCTGCTGAAGTTTGAACTCAACACATAGAATTACACTGCAAAATGAAAAAAAAAACACATAACGACCGTATAATTCCACTTATTATTTCACAGAAGGTAAAAATGTACACTGGCTGGATTTTTTGTAAGAGTTGTAAGACATCAGAATGACCGCCATATTTGAAATGAAAATATCACTAAGTAGAGCTTTGCGCATGTCAAAACATATGGACTGCATATTCAAGAGCCTCCTAGACTTCCACCAACGTAAACATCAGTTCTGACCTCGCGAACTACGTTCCTTGCACTCCAACTACAATTCTCTCATCGCGAACGTGAAATCTTTAGTCGCCCACCACCATTTCCTCGCTCCCGAACATATTTCTCCACTCCTGCACACAGAGTGCAAGTGATTAGCGAGCATGGATCTCTTTGCGCGAGTGGAGAAATATATTAGGGAGCTAGGAAATGGTGGTGCTCGACTAAAGATTTCACGTCCGCAATGTGAGAATCGTGGTTTGAGTGCAAGGAACGTTATGAGTTTGCAAGGTCAGAACTAATGTTCTCGTTTGTGGAAGTCTAGGAGTCTTTATATTTAAATTTATTTTTAAAGTTTCAGCTTAAAGGAATTCGATGGGTCAATTCTGTGGCTGTCATAGCAACATGAGTAAAGCTAAGACAGGGCAGTAGGAATAATTGCAGGTAGTTTCTGTGTAATATTGGCATGGTAAACCAATTTTGACTCCATTTTAGAAGCTTTCTTGGTGCATTTCCGTAACAACATTTTTTGCTGCGTGTCATAGCTAAATACCAATCAGTCATAATTCATTTCTATTTCAAATTTCAAAAAGGCACCTTTGCAAAACAGGATCACATAGTGAGCAGTTGGGGTTAGAGCAACTCAAGCATCCACTTATTCACCTGACCATAGCACCAAGTGATATCTACTTGTTTTCTTTATTCTATTCTAACTGCATGCTGAATTGAAACGGGACTTCAGATGACATGCATTTGGGAATTCTGATTTGTTTAACAGTTCAGGAAATAAGTTGTGAGGGATTCAGCGAAGTACTTGAAGAATGGGTCAGGTCAGGAGGCACGGTGCTTGTGGTCAAAATTGAGGATATTATGTAGAATAAATTGATAAATTGGCAAAGCATTTCAGGTTCATAGTTATAAAGATGTTTAAGTATCCAATTTAAGTCATAAACATGGTACAATCTCCTTTTAAAATATTTGAAATATGTAAAATGAAGTGCTTTTATTCCACCTGCCCTGTCTTTGCGCTACTGTCGTTGCTATGACAACAACAGAATGACCAATGGAATCACTTGATGCTGAAATTTCAGAAATAAATTCAAATATGTTGAAACTATAATCCTTGCAAATTTCATTGAAATCCATGGACAAATAAAAAGAATATGACATTATTGTCTTTACTTCCTTATGCAGTTAAGACAGAAAATATCAATTTTTTTATTGCAAAGTGTCACTTTCAAAGTTCCATCAAGATTTCTTCTTCTCAGTTGCTAAATGGTCATCATACAATCTCTGTTAAACAATGTGGTCACTATGTAGATTTGTACTTGTAATCATAATATGGAAATAAATATATCATAACATAACAATCAGTTTTAATAAACTATTGCAAAATTATATACATGTACACTGTACAACATAATGATCTATAAACATTCACTCTTTTTATACTGTTCTGATGTTGCAACTATGAAAACAATGCAAAACTACAAACCTGAGGAAGTACTGCAAACATTGCAAGGCAACTCCCTCTGGAATATTCTGTACTTTTTCCAAACAGAAACTCATCAGTTCCAGACTGTTCCTTTCCATTAGTCTCTCAAATAGAAGAGGACACACACTGAAATACATGGTAAGTAAAATTAGATATGCTATTGTGTAAGTGGTCCAACAATAAATATGTAGATATTACATTCCATAACATTGGTCTAACTTCAATTTTAGATTTCATTTAGATTTTACATTATATATTTTGTTCCATTTATAAAGGCTATGGACACACCAAAGGAGGCATGATGACTACTCATATAATACTTGTTTTTAATTACTTCAGTTAATGTAAAACATGTTAAATTCGCGAGCATCTTGGATTCGCGTATGTTCGCGAGAGTGTAAAATCGCGAATTCAGGAACCCCCGAATTAAAAATTTGACATTACATTTTTTCCTGGGTATCGTGAATGTAGAATAAAATATACTAACATACAATAATTCTCAATGTATTTTGCACTTATTCAAGTGTTGTATGCAATTACAAAACAAACGTGAAAACAAATTTAGAAGTCATGTTGAAATATATTTGTCTATTGTAATACTGCATGCTATGTTTTAAACAATAAAAGGTAAAACGATAAAGTAATGGGTTAAGAAATCGTCATAGTAAATATTAAAGTTAAGGTAAAATGCTGAAATTATTCTTTACCCTGGGACTTCATTCCTCCATTCACACTTTCCAATCAACGGGTATTAACTCATGACAAGAAAGTTTGTAAGTTTATTTCTAGGATTATGTTTATAACCTATATAATTATAACCTATCATGAGTTTTATTTTCAATCGAAAACAACAGGTGGCAATCGTATCTTGTTAATTAACAAGATAATACCCCAAGATACAACCAATTAGAGTATTAATCCAAAACAATCATATCTTACACTAAATATTTTCCGAAACAGGTTTTATTCCTTTTCACATTTCAATGCAATATTTGACAATTAACTTTGTTAACATTTATTTTACAACGCAGAATTGATTTATTATTTGCGTATTTTGGTGGTAAATCGCGAAAACATGAATACGCGAAAAGAATCAAATGTACAAATCCGCGAAAATTGCTCCCGCAAATTAAAAGTGTTTTACAGTATATGAAAAATTTGATAATATGAACACAATTCACAAAGAATAGGGTATATTTCCAAATTCGGTTTTCCAAAATAAAATTCAACTTAGAATTTCATTTCTCACCTAAATCCAATTGTTTTTTTGTCCAGTAACTGTTTGAACTGTAACCTTGTATGTTCTAGAAAACCCCTTTCTCCAATGATGCGATTCAGGAGGATCCCAACATTCTTTGCAGACAATAAATGCCTGTTTGATTCTTTATGGCTCATCTTAAAGAACTGAGCAAATACATCTTTGAATTCTTCAGGTGATGATGTCTACAATAAATAAAAACAAGGCATTAACATGACAAAATGTCACCACCTAGTTGCTCACAATATTATGAGTTCAAACTTAAGTCAGATTTGAATTTCTGAGAACTTGTAAAGTCAAATTTGAACTTCTGAAAAGATGTAGATGATTTTGAAAAAAAAAATTGGTCAATTTGAAGCAAGTTGAAAACAGACTTTTTTGACCTTTTTTTACCTTCTCAAAGGATTTGAATTTCTGAGAACATGTAGATGATTTTGAAAAAAAAAATTAGTCAATTTGAAGCAAGTTGAAAAAAGACCTTTTTGACCTTTTTTGACCTTGACAAGGTGATTGAAGGTCAAATGTCAAATCTAAAGTCATATTTGAATTTCTGAGAACATGTAGATGATTTTGAAAAAAAATTTAGTCAATTTGAAGCAAGATGAAAAAATACCTTTTTGACCTTTTTTGACATTGAGAAGGTCATTGAAGGTCAAATGTCAAATCTAAAGTCAGATTTGAATTTCTGAGAACATGTAGATGATTTTGAAAAAAAAATTTAGTCAATTTGAAACAAGTTGAAAAAAGACCTTTTTGACCTTTTTTGACTTTGAGAAGGTCATTGAAGGTCAAATGTCAAATCTTAAGTCAAATCTAAAGTCAGATTTGAATTTCTGAGAACACGTAGATGATTTTGAAAAAATTTTTTAGTCCATTTGAAGCAAGTTGAAAACAGACCTTTTTGACCTTGAGAAGGTCATTGAAGGTCAAATGTCAAATCTTGAGTCAAATCTTAAGTCAGATTTGAATTTCTGAGAACATGTAGATGATTTTGAAAAAAAAATTTAGTCAATTTGAAGCAAGTTGAAAACAGACCTTTTTGACCTTTTTTGACCTTGAGAAGGTCATTGAAGGTCAAATGTCAAATCTAAAGTCAGATTTGAATTTCTGAGAACATGTAGATGATTTTGAAAAAAAAATTTAGTCAATTTGAAGCAAGTTGAAAAAAGACCTTTTTGACCTTTTTTGACTTTGAGAAGGTCATTGAAGGTGAAATGTCAAATCTTAAGTCAAATCTAAAGTCAGATTTGAATTTCTGAGAACACGTAGATGATTTTGAAAATTTTTTTTAGTCAATTTGAAGCAAGTTGAAAACAGACCTTTTTGACCTTTTTTGACCTTGAGAAGGTCATTGAAGGTCAAATGTCAAATCTTAAGTCAAATCTTAAGTCAGATTTGAATTTCTGAGAACACGTAGATGATTTTGAAAAAAAAATTTAGTCAATTTAAAGCAAGTTGAAAACAGACCTTTTTGACCTTGAGAAGGTCATTGAAGGTCAAATGTCAAATCTTAAGTCAAATCTTAAGTCAGATTTGAATTTCTGAGAACACGTAGATGATTTTGAAAAAATTTTTTAGTCAATTTGAAGCAAGTTGAAAACAGACCTTTTTTGACCTTGAGAAGGTCATTGAAGGTCAAATGTCAAATCTAAAGTCAGATTTGAAGGTCAAATGTCAAATTTAAAGTCAGATTTGAATTTCTGAGAACATGTAGATGATTTTGAAAAAAAATTTAGTCAATGTGAAGCGAGTTGAAAAAAGACCTTTTTGACCTTGAGAAGGTCATTGAAGGTCAAATGTCAAATCTAAAGTCAGATTTGAACTTCCGAGAACATGTAGATGATTTAGAAAAAAATTGAAGTCAGTCTAAACAGTATTTGTTAAGTTATAGGAAGTTGTAAGAAATTGTTACAGACGCCGGACGCCGGACGCCAACCGCCGGACGCCAACCACCAACCGCCGTCGCAAAAAAACGGAGACCATAACAATATGTCACAACATGTAGATGATTTAGAAAAAAATTGAAGTCAGTCTAAACAGTATTTGTTAAGTTATAGGAAGTTGTAAGAAATTGTTACAGACGCCGGACGCCGGACGCCAACCGCCGGACGCCAACCACCAACCGCCGTCGCAAAAAAACGGAGACCATAACAATATGTCACCACTTTTGGTGGTGACATAATAAGTCATTGAATACTTGTTTATTAATATGGGTGAAACTATTATCTAAAAGGAGAATATAAACCACCATCGCATCGACAAGACTGTTAAAGCTGTTATTAAGGAAGCATTCATGAGGCCCTCTGAAAGAGGCCTCCTTTAGCTTTCTCACCTTTTCTTTATTTATTCTTTATTTATTTTTCCTTATTTATTCTGCCAAAGCATTTGTTACTTCTAATTAGCTTTCAACTATCTACTACCTAATCTAAGAAAATGGCACTTTCCCCCAAAGATGTAGCAATTTAAAAATCACACATGCTTACTGTTTATGTTGACCTGACACGTGTATCTACACTAGCCTATAAAAATGAAAAATTGCTACATTGTAGCAGTTTCAGGGAGATGTGGACCCTCAAAATCATGTAATTTTTAGGGATGGGACGGTTCATTTCGGTTCGGTTCGGTTCGGTTTTTCGGATCATCAGCCGTCGGTTCGGTTTTTTTCGGTTCGGTTCATTCATTTAAAGGATTTGTATTGATTGACATGATTAGCTGCTTTGTCTCTGACTTCACTGCTGACTGTCACTTTCTTAATCTTCATTTCTTTTGGGAAAACGGGAATTTGAGATCCAGACGCCATATTTGAATGTATTGTGGGTGCGCACAAAATAATACCCTATATCGAACCTGCGCAAATATAAATTTGCGCAAATCTTTATATCAATCATGCCACGTTATAACAATATTTTATAGATGGAATTTTATGTTATAGTATTTCATGAACAATACATATTATTTAGAATACATGACTAAAGAATATAGTACCAGGGACCACATGATTGATTACCGAGGGATACGAATACGCGGATACGAAACGAATCTAGTAAACGAGTGAGCTAGCAACAGACAAGACAGACAAGGTAGGGACGTAGGAATATCAAAAATGTTGCTGTAAAACAGTGTTTTTAACTGTTTTATTGATACTTGACCAATGAAATATTAATCCGAAAACGATCCGAAAAGCTGATCCGAAAGTAGGGCCGTGATCCGAAAACCGATCCGAAGGCTATGAACCGCGGTTTTTCGGTATTTCGGTTATCCGTCCCACCCCTAGTAATTTTGATGGAATTAAAGCAGGGTTTCTTTCATTTAATACCCTCCATGGGCCCCTTATGACCATTCTGATGCGCACAGAAGGTTTGAAAGTGAACCAGAACAACGGCAACCCCAAAGCGTAGCAAATCCCATCAAATATTTTTCAAAAGGGGCACCTTCTACCAAAAATGTCATTAGACAGTGTGCCATGCTTATAATATTCACATACCAAATATGAACAAAATCGCTCGACTACTTTTCGAGTTACAGTAAAAAACGTTAAAATGGTGGCCATTTTTCAAAATGGCCGCCTTCTTCCAAAAGTGTCATTAGACAGTGTGCCATGCTTATACGTATTCACGTACCAAATATGAACAAAATCGCTCCACTACTTTTCGAGTTATAGTAAAATAAGTTAAAATGGCAGCCATTTTTCAAAATATCCATTTTTCAAAATGGCCGCCTTCTACCAAAAGTGTCATTAGACAGTGTGCCATGTTTACAGTATTCACATACCAAATATGAACAAAATCGCTCCACTACTTTTCGAGTTATAGTAAAATACGTTAAAATGGCGGCCATTTTATAAAATGACCGCCCTCTACCAAAAGTGTCATTAAACAGTGTGCCATGCTTATACGTATTCACATACCAAATATGAACAAAATCGCTCCACTACTTTTCGAGTTTTAGTAAAATAAGTTAAAATGGTGGCCATTTTTCAAAATGGCTGCCTTCTACCAGAAGTGTCATTAGACAGTGTGCCATGCTTATAGTATTCACATACCAAATATGAACAAAATCGCTCCACTACTTTTCGAGTTACAGCAAAAATCGTAAAATAACGAGTAAAGGCCGCCATTTTTCAAGATGGCTGCCATGTGCTTTTTTAATATCTACATTTCTAGCTACATTAATGTCCTATATAATTTTTTTTACATTTAAAACATATTGCTACTACAGTTTTACATATTGCACCTAAATTACTGTAAAATCGGCACTAAAATGGCCGCCATTTTTAAATGAGCAGCCATTTTGAAAATCGGCTCTCGAGCAGAACTTCTACCCCCATAGGGTATATGTGTACAAAATATGAACAAAATCGGGCTAACGGTATTTGAGTTATTGCCCGGACGAACGGACGGACGTACGTACAGACGTACGGACGGACGTACGTACAGACGTACGGACGTACGTACGGACGGACGTACGTACGGACGGACGGCGGACGGACGGAGGCGTTCCCTATATCCCTCCAAACTTCGTTCGATGGGATAATTAAAATCATTGCGTGGCCTAAGCTGACTAAGAATATCGACCCTGCTTTCAAATTCTACTAGAATATTGGTCTCTGGCCAAGTAGCAGACAATTTTAGGCCTTACATTAAGGTTTATGTACCGTAATCCAATAGGAAATTCGAAAATTCTTAACACTACTTTGCACATATGGCGTTCATAACCAACTATGATACGCATTTATTGTAACTCGCGTTTGATACCATCTGGTCAATTCTGAGATGACGGTCACACGCGTAGTAAACATGCTCATGTTGGAACTATTTTGACCTACATCGCTATTTTCGTAATCAAAATGAAAGTTGAACTCCTCCTCTATATTTTGTTACCAAATAATGGCATACTAGGTACCCTAGAAGCCAACTATGGTGTTATTTAGAACAAAATCACAAGTTTTTAAATGGACCATCGCGGGGTCATACCTTTTGGTGAATGGATATGGAACCTCACACCTTTACTTGATTTTGAAATCACCTCAGAAGTTTATGTCTGCCCTCAACATTGAGATTTGACCTTTGGACCTTCAAATTAAGTTTCCTAAAATGCTTGAGGGCCTCCATGAGATTGCTTGCAATCTTAAATGTCTTGTTATTATTGCTATTATATGCAACAATTTTATATTTTACTATTTACCTTATTTGGGTCTATCAATTGTTGCAGAAGGTCAATGCAGCTGGCATTTGGGGCTTTCTGATTGATCTGAAATATATAATAAATGCGTTATAAATGTAACATTTGACAGTGTCTTTAAAATACATACACTCACACAAACCAATAATATTGAGGTACACATGCTTTTACTCAAACATGCTAATAGTGATGATGATGCACCCACACATTCATAATGATGTTGTACTCACTCATGCTAATCATGATAATGATGATTCACATGATGAGAGTCATACAACATAGAACTCATATCTCAAAATGGTCACCATAAATGTATTGCCAAATGATTGTCTCATTCTTGAATATATTAACATATGAAATATCAAAAAAACATTTTATTACTTTTCGATTACATGCGCGTAAAGTCTACCCGGCTACATACAACCAACCTACCACCGAGTAAGATCTGGTAATACCTCCTATCAAATGTTGATAAAGTCAATTCTCTTAGATCCTAAAAATCGTTACTTGAATGTTCTAGCAGGCGAAATTGGCCCAGAATTAATGCTATCAGACGTCCGTCCCAATGTGATTGAAGAGTAATATTATCAAAGATCCAAAGACATCATCTTTTGGAAGTTTGGGATTTTTCTCGCTTAATTTCACTCGATTCTCTCGATCTAAATGTATTTCAATCAACTATTATTTCATGGCAGAGAAAACATATTACTTTTCTCAATATCTTCAGCATGCTTAATGTAATAAGTAATGATAGACTTTATAGAAATTACCAAAACAAATTAACTTGGGCTTGGGCAAACCGAATACTTACTATTTTTGGATAGAACTACATAGAACTCATATCTAATTATCCTGAAAGTTCTCTAAAAAGTTCAATATTTAAAAGAACGCCCATGGGCCTTTCAAGATATAAGTCTCTTCAAATAGACAATCGTGTGTAAAACAAGCAACTCTGGTACAATGTCTCAAAGCATACATGAACGGCCTCATCATCACTCACTAGTCATCACTCACGTAACCTTTGTCAAATTCTTCGGCAGACATAAAAAGTTACATTGTCATGTGGTATAACAGGTGGCTGAACGTAAGTGAAAGTAATGCACCGTTGGCCCAGATTTGAGAGTCGAATACTTTTTCTAATTCAAGGTTAAGCCTTCTTCACCCCATTTGAAATATTACACAAACTTAAGATTACCATGGGATGTTGACATTTTGACAGTCAAGAACTAAACATGGGGTTTTGTACAGTCGGCGTAATTTGAAAATGTACAGGAAACATTGGACTCTTCACATCAATATGTCTCTATTCATTTAATTCCCCAGAACAATATAAATAAAGAAGGGGGAATATAGACGTGAGTATAATTATAATTGAATTCCATTCCATTTATCATTAATATTATTAATACTCAACATAATTTGACAGTAAAATTAACCCATTCCCTTTACGATTCACATTGACATCTAATGTGTTAAGATTTTCAGGCGAAAATCTGCCCTACTCTGACGTCAGAGATTTCAGGTTTGCTAATTTTAATATTCATGAGCTGACTCTGGGGAAAGGTGAATACTATCAAAATTTCAAACAATAATATTCATTTCTTTGCTTTAAAATGAAAAACTAAAGATTTTTCGCAAAATTTTCCCACCATTTCTAAAGTAGCCAGTTGCCATCTTGAAAAAATGTTTGCGTAAAACTATTCACCAATATATATCCTTCCACCAATTTTGAAGCAAATCTGTCCGTATTAAGAGTTATCTCCTGGATGGACGAATGGACTCTATCCCTACTGAACTTCGTTTGTTGGGATAATGAAAATGTGAAGGATTAATGGACTGTGATTTTGAGATCTTCAGGCTTTGTGAAGCTGATAATGGACATTGACAATAGAAATTAGAATATTTCAAATGAAAAGTTGAACATTAGATCGCTGCAGTTTTGGATTCTGACCAGACGTTGAGTCTTCCCAGGTGTGTAGTGGTGGTTTCCGGAGGAGTATTCATAGTATAGTATGCACAGTTTTGTTTATTTATTAAAAAATAAATTGAATATACATGATCACAGTAACAGACAATGTATCTTCCTCTTATGTAAATTTAATCAAGATTCATTCAGTAGTTATGGAGATATTTATCATATGTCAAGTATATCATTTAAATAAAAATAAGTCAGTCACTTGCGATAAAATGGCCAAAATAAGTCAGCATGCTGAAGGTAAAGAGTAAACTAAAATTCCAATGATACTAAAAATTTTCTTAAGTTATTACCATATCTTCTACATCCCAAACTGCTGTAAGTGATGCATTAGTATCTGTGGATGGGTACTTTCCCAATGACATCTTCAGATTACTCTCTTTATTCTCATAATCACACACCCACAATGCATTGCTACTTGGTATATACAGATTGTGATCCTGTTTGTATATGGCCTGACCTCTATTGGTTGGATCAGGAAATACGGTCCACTCTTGTAAAGTACCATACTTTGAGTCCCATACACCAATTCCATCTAGACAAATAGAAATAGAATAGAAACTTTAGATTCTTAACATGTGTAGAGGAAGGGAAATCTGGAAGTAAGGTGGAATCCTCACGACATTTTTTCACACAAACGTGTAGTATCATATGTTTTAAAATATGTACTTGTTTGCGAAAAATAGCTCAGAAGACAGCAGAATCGTCAATTTAATTCCTCACTTAAGTTACAGAAACCGTATGGGTTAAAAGTGCAGATTTTAACTGTTTTTCGAAATACTGTTTCTGTAACTTAAGGGAGGAATTAGATCGACAATTCTGTTGGCTTCTGTACTATTTGTTCGCAAATCCAAACCGAAGTCGGATTGAAATTTGGTTTGCAGATTAGGATTCCTGAGAAAATTCTACCCTTAATTCACATCTCATACGTTAAATTTGGAGAACTTTTTATTTTGACCTACATTTCGAAAGTTTTTTTTTTTCAATTTCTCATTTATTCCATATATAACATAAAATACATTACAATATTATTGCCTACGTTTTTCAACATTGTCGGCAATATACAAAACATATAAAAATGGAAACAATGAAAATACAATAGATAAGGTACATAATATTAATGGCAGGGAATGTTAGAAGCTTTCGGGGGGGGGGGAGCCTGGCAGATGTAATGGCTAACTATATGGATAATTTGTTCATTATCAGTTACTGTGAGATTTCTGTCTCCAAATAATAATAACTAGAAAAACAGCAACTCCACGGAGTAGCAAATCCCACCGAACAAAACATGTTTTGATAACAAAAATTGAGCCAAATTCATCCACTGGTATTTGAATTATCAAAGATTATGTCTTTATGAAACATGGTTGCCATTTTGAAATTCAGCTGTCATCTTTAGATTTCTTCTTTAGCAGAGAATGTCCTTCCAATGGTAGCTGGGTTATCAAAGATTACTTTTTTAATGAAAAATGGCAGCCATTTTGAAATTCAGCTATTGCCTTTGAAATTTCTTCTGAAGCAGATCTCCTTTTTCCCTAAACATCAGCATATAAAATTGGAACCAAATCCATCCACTAGTATTTGAGTTATCATTACTTACATTTTTTTACAAAAATGGTGGCCATTTTGAAATTCAGTGGCCATCTTGAAAATTTATTTTTGAGCAGAACTTCTTTGTCTCTAGGCATCAGCATATAGAATTTGAACCAAATCCGTCAACTGGTATTTGAGTTATCAAAGGTTACGTTCTTTTATGAAAAATGGCGGCCATTTTGAAATTTAGCTACCACCTTGAAAATCCCTTCTATAGCAGAGCTCCTATGTCCCTTGGCATCATCATGTAAAATTTGAACCAAATCCATTCAATGGTAATTGAGCTATCAAAGATAATGTTTTTTTATGAAAAATGGCCACTATTTTGAAATTTAGCTGCCATCTTGAAAATCCTTTCTTGAGCAGAGCTCCTATGTCCCTAAGCATCAGCATCTAAAATTTAAACCAAATCCATTCAATGGTATTTGAGTTATCAAAGATAACGTTTTTTTTACGAAAAATGGCCACCATTTTAAAATTAAGCTGCCATCTTGAAAATCCTTTCTCGAGCAGAGCTCCTATGTCCCTAGGCATCAGCATCTAAAATTTGAACCAAATCCATTCAATGGTCTTTGAGTTATCAAAGATAAAGCTGTTTTTACGAAAATGGCCGCCATTTTGAAATTTGGTGGCCATCTTGAAAATGTCTTCTTGAGCAAGGCTGCTTTGTACCAAGGCAACAGCCTATAAAATTTGAACCAAATCCATCCACTTGTATTTGAGTTATTAAAGATTATATTTTTTCTGAAAAATGGCCGCCATTTTGAATTAAGCAGCCATATTGAAAATTTCTTCTCGAGCAGAGGTCCTACACCCGTAAGGCATAAGCCTATAAAATTTGAATGAAATCCGTCAACCGGTATTTGAGTTATTGCCCGGACACACGAACGGACGGACGGATGAACGGACGGACGAACGGACGGACGGACGGCTTTTCTATATCCCCCTCGAACTTCGTTCGGTGGGATAATAAAAATTGAATTTTTTCATAAGAGTTTCAATTTTGGAAACGATTGAAAAATCCTAAGGTTTTTAGTCCTGCTAGGAGAGTGCATCTTTCTTGTTGCAGCAGAGGGCAGTTTAATAAAAAGTGATGCGTTGTTTGTTGTATGTCACCACATACGCAGAAAGGGTCATTTACTGTCACAAAGTTATGGGAATATAAATGTGCTTTTAGAAACAGTCCAGCTCTAAATCTATTGAACAGAATTTCGATTTTCCTTGGCATTGTCATATTCATTTTAGTAGTGGATACTCTGGAGTCAGGGCTCATATTTCCTCTTACTAAACTTTTAAATCTAGATATTGGTTGGCCTTTCCTGTCCTCGTATGGTATGTCATCCCACAGGGTCAGAGCCCTGATAATGGTTGACTTTTTGAACGAATTACTGATTGGAAAGGGTATTCTATAATGCCTTGGTTGTCTTAGGGGCCGATTTGGAATATTCTCGTATGAACTAACTAAATCACAAATGAAAGGAGGGAAACAATGGTATCTAGCCTTGAAAGCAAAAATTTTAAGATGTTATTCTCTCCTGGAAGTGAACGTTTTCCAGTTGAGTAATGATAAAACTTTCGATGTGTTTGAACCGTGTATTGCTCCTGACACATGGCAAGCTGCTTGATAATGAAGTCTATCCAATGTTAATAGTTTTGAAGTTGATGCCTTATCATATATAATTGTATCACAGTAGTCGAAATGTGGTAGTATAAATGAATTATATATATTCTCTAGGTATTTACTGTTCAGTTTGCAAAAATAAGGAAAAATTATGAATTTGACCTAGATTTTGACCTAGGCCTTTTGGTGTTCAAATTTTAAGAAAACTTAGCCTTATGAGTCCACTTCTATTGTAGGCTTTCATTAGGTTTAGCTGCAGTCAGTCTGTATCTTGTATTTTTACAATTCAAAAGTTTCTTTGTCCAAAGATGAATAATATCCTAAAGTTATAGGCCGATATCTGTATTAGTCTCAGAAATATTGCAATTAATAGGAAAAAAATATGCAAATTTAGTCATTTTTAAGTCTCACCTATTTTATAGGGTGGGTCAAAAAAAGCGCCACTTTTTTTCAAGACACTACAACTTTTTTATTTTCCAACCTACATACCCAAAATGCAGTTATATAGTGCCAGGGGTTCTTAGCAATGATATAATGTAACAAGTCCTTCAACATAGATTGAATTTGATCTAAAAGAGGAGTTCAATTGGTCCGCTGCCCTCTTTGATGATCGATTTTAGTTTTAGTCACCTTGCTGATATAGCAGTATCGATGGAATGTTAGCTAAGTTTTTTTCAACCTGTCCTAATTGCCGGCTTTAGTTGAGCAATTTTTTAGATTGGGTGCCTTAAGACATCCCCATACCCTATACTCACTGGGGTTTGCATCAGACCTATTAGATTGGCTGTCATCAGGCCCTATCAGTTCAGGAACATTTTGCAAATTATGCTTATTTGTCATGGCACACCACATGTTTAACTGAGACGCTGGTGACATGTTTTATTCAAGTAAAAGTGTATAATTCATGATCTGCGGCTAGATAACAACTTCAAGTTTCATTTGGTATGCAAATTATGATTTTGTATCAAAAATTAAAAAGTTATAGCATTTTGAAAAAAGTGGCATTTTTTGGCCCACCCTGTATATTTGTAGCTTCCAGCAATAGATGGCAGCTTAAATAGCTCAAACTTGTTTTCTAAAAACTAATTCAAGCTTTGTTTGATATTGTAATACATTTATAATTATGTACTATTTATGATTTTTAATATGACTTTATAGTACCCTACCCCTGGAAAGTGGGCGTGGTCAATGTTATCATTTTGCAGCATACAGTTAAAACTTGTATCGATAGAAAGCAAATCAATGCATTTAAAACATCTTGACTTGTTACTTGACAATGTAATACATTTATTACTAAAATATAGGACTCTACATTTGAAATCTAATACTAGGCTGTTTCATTTTCAGTGTTCACTAACACATATATATAACTTTTAATATATAACTTTTATTGACATATTATATCATAACATGATTACAATAGTCATAAACTACTCACTAAAACTACTATCTACTACTAAACTACTTACTAAAACTACATCTTTATAAAAATATACATGATTTGATATATTTTTTACAGAAAGCATACAAGAAAGGCAAAATATTTTAAAGTGTGATGCACAAATTTTGCTGATTATTCTAAATTGTTAAACGAATGGTATATAAATTTACCAAGATGTCGTTGGAAGATGATATTATCATTAGAAATTATATTTATAAATAAATCGTTACTATTCAAGTCAAATGTTGGTAATATTTCAGCAATTTTACTGAAAAATATTTGCCTGCGTTGAGAATGCTTTGTACAATTTATGATAAAATGAAATTCATTCTCCACACATTTACATATATTACACAACCTTTCATTAACTGGTTTAGGTTTGGGTTTTATGTGTCTTCCAGATTCTATTTTTAGCCGATGTGAACTTAACCTAAATCTACCTATTGCTAATCTATATTTTTTATTATCTAGTTTCAAATATGGTTCTAATTCAAAATCTTTCTTAAATAGCTTATATGTTCTTAAAGGGTTCCGATTAGCATCCCGTATAAAAACAATATGGCGGCTCCAGGCGAATCAACTGGATCAGTCCATTTTTAAGAAATAAGGGGAGTTCTGTAAAATCCAGTTTATTGAAATTGTCTTTGAGATAAAGTAATCCGTTTATAATGATTTTGAAAACGTTATCCAAAGAGTGATTGCGTTCAAATAATACATATACAACAGCCAATATAAATTATTGTATTAGAAACCGGTTTGTCTTGCTTTGTTTCATTTGTAGGATATTTCATATGCCAAGCTGTGTGCTATTACGTTATGGGGAAATTTAGATGCCAATTTTTCCTTATTATACACAAATAGAAGATCCTGAAACTTCACC